GTTTATTTTGGAATAAAGAGGTTAATATAAAAAATATATTTTTTTCCGATTCATCGATTCATTGAAAAAATAATCGGCCGATTCATCGATTTTTTAAATAATCGTTAGTTGCAGCCCTACTTTTTTATAAAATTTGAATTAGAACTCAAGAAAAAGAGTGTAATTCAACTGCAAAAATTAGAGCATTTTTTTATGTTGTGAAAAAAAAAACATTTAGCAGATAAAAACTGGGATCCTATCTCAATACCACTGAAGCTATCACCTTATTGTTTTTGAATAATTAGTGAAACAGAATTTGTAACGAAAAAGAATGAAATACATCCAAAGGACCTATCAGTAACCATGTCTGTTCCAGTGCATATCATCATTAGAATTTCTTTTAAGTATTATGTCTTTAGTACAGGGGCCTTAACAGGGGTCAGGACATGATCTACAGGGGCACTGGCCCCCGTTGGCCCCTGTCTAGAACCGCCCATGGTGAAGAATGATGACACCGTGGTGAGGTGCACTGTATGCTGAAGTCCCATGAAAAACAGAAAGCACAACCGATGTTCAAGGCTACAAGATTGAAAGTATTGTCTTATGTATTGTATTATTAAGTATAAGTATTGTCTATTATTATCTAAAAGAGTTTTTGTTTTGGGATGTCTGTGTCAGCAACATTATTTTTCTAGCAACAAAAGGATCTTGGTGAAGTGTAATTATAAAAAAAAAAAAGAGAGAGAGAGAAAGAAAAAGAAAAAAAACAGTACCATAGTGGATAGTTTAACTAGTATTTAAATGCATTTTGCATTTTTTTTTTTTTCCTGTTTAATCATGCTGTCCTCACCTGCAGCCTTCGTCTTCGAATGATGCCAGAGTCATCCATGGCGCGTGCCGCTTCTTAAAGCTATTGGCGGGTCTCGTGGCTCCTAGTTCCAAATGTTGAAAGTATAGGGCCAAATCTCGCGTTATTTCCAGCGAACCAGCGCGGTTCGCGATTTACCATCACAGCAGCAATTTTTATGTGAAAACTAAAGACACTAAGGCCGTGTCATGGGTATTGTTATAATAAAAAAAAGGTGAACGTTAGATGATGATTTGGTTTACAGCCGGAAAAAGACACTCTGGTTCACCGTTAAGTGTGGCTCCAGTGTTCCACTCCATGCTGTCATAGAACCACTTTGGTTGGAAGGCTTAAACAGAGGGATGCACTGAAGTCCAGGTGACAGACCGAAGGTTATAACAACAGATAAGATAAAACAGTTTGCAAACGTCTTCACTTCCAGGCACTGAGTGCAACGATCCAAAACAAAAAAAGCAATTCCTTCACATATGTCAGTTGAACATTAAATTCCGCCTCTGTCATGAGGCAGCTTGAGAAAAATCTTTTATCTCCGAGATCCTTACATCTGCAAAACACCCGAATTTCTCTTTTAAGCGTCGAAGCACGTCAGGATCAGTTTATCTGTTCATTGCATTTTTAAAGAGGTTTGCCGCACTTTAACCAAACACCTATGGAGCATCCCCATCCTGTCAGCGCGTCACCGTCAAACAGGATCCGCAGCGAGAGCAGCCTCCTTAAAGGGCAGCATTCAAGCAGCGGAGGTGGAGACAGAGCGACCGCTTCTCATGTTACTTCCCCTGTGCGCAGATTTTTGCTGTCATCCGTCCGATGCGCGTCTGTTCAGTCGCTCCTCTGGTTTAAATGGGTTTCTGTTTGCCACCTAGACACCGGCTCCTATAGCACCCACCTCCAACAACCACAGGATGCTTCACAGCGACTGGAGATTGTGAAGCAGACCGTGGCAAAGCTGAGGAGGAGCCCATTTCTGGCTCTCATCCTGCTTGAGATGATGAGGTTGTTTAGGAGGGAGGGAGGGAGGAATTTGGTGAGTTATAAACAGAGAGGGACACCTATGATTCAGTAGGAGATGCTGTAATAATATCTCCTAGTATGGCAAGCCGTTTTAACAGAAATTCGGTCTTTTCTCATCGTGTGAGTTTTTCAGATTGAACTAGTTTTATTGGTTTAATTTTCTTTTTGTGTTTTCTGTATGTATTTGAGTTCTTAGGTTTTTCTTTGCTGCCCTCTTGTGTTGGTCCCCTTTTCCNAGAAAGAAAAAGAAAAAAAACAGTACCATAGTGGATAGTTTAACTAGTATTTAAATGCATTTTGCATTTTTTTTTTTTTCCTGTTTAATCATGCTGTCCTCACCTGCAGCCTTCGTCTTCGAATGATGCCAGAGTCATCCATGGCGCGTGCCGCTTCTTAAAGCTATTGGCGGGTCTCGTGGCTCCTAGTTCCAAATGTTGAAAGTATAGGGCCAAATCTCGCGTTATTTCCAGCGAACCAGCGCGGTTCGCGATTTACCATCACAGCAGCAATTTTTATGTGAAAACTAAAGACACTAAGGCCGTGTCATGGGTATTGTTATAATAAAAAAAAGGTGAACGTTAGATGATGATTTGGTTTACAGCCGGGAAAAGACACTCTGGTTCACCGTTAAGTGTGGCTCCAGTGTTCCACTCCATGCTGTCATAGAACCACTTTGGTTGGAAGGCTTAAACAGAGGGATGCACTGAAGTCCAGGTGACAGACCGAAGGTTATAACAACAGATAAGATAAAACAGTTTGCAAACGTCTTCACTTCCAGGCACTGAGTGCAACGATCCAAAACAAAAAAAGCAATTCCTTCACATATGTCAGTTGAACATTAAATTCCGCCTCTGTCATGAGGCAGCTTGAGAAAAATCTTTTATCTCCGAGATCCTTACATCTGCAAAACACCCGAATTTCTCTTTTAAGCGTCGAAGCACGTCAGGATCAGTTTATCTGTTCATTGCATTTTTAAAGAGGTTTGCCGCACTTTAACCAAACACCTATGGAGCATCCCCATCCTGTCAGCGCGTCACCGTCAAACAGGATCCGCAGCGAGAGCAGCCTCCTTAAAGGGCAGCATTCAAGCAGCGGAGGTGGAGACAGAGCGACCGCTTCTCATGTTACTTCCCCTGTGCGCAGATTTTTGCTGTCATCCGTCCGATGCGCGTCTGTTCAGTCGCTCCTCTGGTTTAAATGGGTTTCTGTTTGCCACCTAGACACCGGCTCCTATAGCACCCACCTCCAACAACCACAGGATGCTTCACAGCGACTGGAGATTGTGAAGCAGACCGTGGCAAAGCTGAGGAGGAGCCCATTTCTGGCTCTCATCCTGCTTGAGATGATGAGGTTGTTTAGGAGGGAGGGAGGGAGGAATTTGGTGAGTTATAAACAGAGAGGGACACCTATGATTCAGTAGGAGATGCTGTAATAATATCTCCTAGTATGGCAAGCCGTTTTAACAGAAATTCGGTCTTTTCTCATCGTGTGAGTTTTTCAGATTGAACTAGTTTTATTGGTTTAATTTTCTTTTTGTGTTTTCTGTATGTATTTGAGTTCTTAGGTTTTTCTTTGCTGCCCTCTTGTGTTGGTCCCCTTTTCCTGGCCTCCTTTCTAGAATCCTCTGTTCACACCTGCTCCCAATCAGATTGTTAGTCCTGTCTTTGTTCAGTCAACCATAAATTCTCTTGCTGTGCAGTCCCTCAGTGCTGGTTCCTCGTCTTTCCCTGGCTTCTAGTGCAGGTCTTCCCTGATGTCTTCATGGTTCTGGTTTGTCTTGCATTTTTAAGTTGGAATTTTGGATCCCTGCCTCTTTTACCTGTGAACACTCCATTAAAACTACAAGAAATCACCTCTGCCTTCCTGCCTCTGCATTTGGGTCCTCAAAACCACAACCAGATTTCTAAAAATGTTAAATTTAAGCTTAAAATTGTTTAGTTTTTTTCTAACTTTTTTTTATTTTAAAATTTACATTTTAAAAACCCTCCTAATGTAGGATAGCCTGCTTTTTTGCCCTGACAGGTAAATACCAACATACATTTTATTGACAAATGATTTGTACATAAAAGTATTTCACATACAATAAAATAAATATAAAAACATAAAAAATAAAATAGCACCCCAAAAAACGAACATATGGCCGTTTGAACAGCACTTCTATGATAGACAAACAGCAAGGTCAAGAAGAGAGAAATAAGAAATAAAACCAAATTCATCCATAATGAAAATGTTATTAAATAAATCTAATTAAAGGAAGGAGTAAATAATGAATTTTAGGAACCTATCAGAAAAATGATCATATAACCAGCCAATTTTGGAACACAACAAGATATTCTGTCGCTAAGACATAGGGTGCAGGGCAATAGCGTCATGCTAGATTTATACTGCAGGATTAATGTTAAATGCTACTCAAAGGTTTCTTACCAATTTTGATCTCTAAGTAAAGAGTTTTTAAATATAACGAAAATATCAATTTTTTTATCTAATTTCCAGCAATAGCAATATTAGTTTTAGTTTTTTCTTTTTAACAGCTGTGTGTTTAGAATATTTGTTTGTTTCATAGACCTTAGAACCTGACAAGATAGACTCAATCATATTTGTAATGAATGCAGAGATAAATACAACTAGATATCATACAAGATTAGTTTTATTTATCAAAATAAAACAAAAGAAAATGTTCTGGGGGGTCTGGTAATATTACCCTTAAGGCAAAATGAATGCATTTGACAATGAGAAACAGAATAACAAAAAAATTAGAACAAATGAATAAAAAATACTCACAAAATTCAGACTGAATGTATATATAACTGTATAAACCATTATCTTGAATTCATGAGTAATTATTTGGTCTAACTAAAGTTTTAACATGGCTAGTGATACTGTAGCTAGTACTCATTACTTAAAGGGACAGCTGGTTAGATTTAACTCCATCTATTGGTGCACTATGAAGTACAATGGGATAACTTCTGTGAAGAACAACAGCAGCTGATAACTGCTGCATCAGGTCTAACAAACAAGCAGAGACAACATAAATACCCTTAATACATCTGCTGAAGAAAATAGTGAAACATTGAAAATATCTCCTTTCGGGTGCACCACCTACTATATTTGTAAAGTACTAATTCTAAGCTGTGAGAATGCTTTTACATTTGATGAAATAAAATTAGAATTGAACTTTATTGTCATTACACAGTCAAAAGTACAACGAAATGAACACTGCATTTAACCCATCCCTTTGGGGAGCAGCGGGCTGCCATCGTGGGGCACCCAGGGAGCAGTGTGGGGTTAAGGATCTTGCTCAGGGACCCAGAGTGGCAGTCTGTGGAAGTAGGGCTTGAACTCAGAACCTCTAGGATCCAAGTGCAATGTCCTAACCACTAGGCCACAACTCCACCAAAAGTAAGTTATTGTTATATGTTGGAGTTCACCTGCAGCTTTGACACACATCAAATGTAGAGAACAAAGCCATCTGAGCTCCATGTGAAAATGTGATGTGATGTCATTACACTGAATATATAATTAATAAAGCAAAATGTTATTTCTGCTAATAAAAAGCCACATTTGTTACACACTGTACCTTTAACAGTTGCTTTTATTAGTTATTCTCTAGTGTAAACTAAAGTTGATCTGTGAAAAATCCTGACTCTCCTTCTTGTCTCTTTTTTGAAATGTTAGTTAGGTAAAGACCCCCAGCAGTGTACCTTGATACTAGTATGCTCTTTATTATTTTCCATCATGTTATTTTTAGGTTTGAGAGTTGAAAAAAAAAAACCCACTAACATAACCTTGGACACCCAGTATTGTGCTTTTTTTTTTTTTCTAAAAGCAGACCTGCCATCCCACCTATGGAATTCTCTGAAACATACAGCAGGTACAATAAGTATTGAATACCTCACCATTTATTTCAGTAAAGTTGCAATTGACATGACGTTTTCACCAGAAACCAGGTGCCCCACACAATATTTCAAAGAGAGGAGTGAAAATAGTCAACAGAAGAGTCAAAGACCACTTGTGGAGAGTTTCAGAAAGACCTGGAATTATAATGTGCAATTATTTCAAAGAAAACAATAAGTAATGCACTCAACCGCCATGGCCTGTATGCAAGCTCACCACGAAAGACACCATTAGTGAAGCATGTAGAGGCTCTTTAAAGTTAGCTGCACAACATTTAGACAAGCCTATGAAATCCTGGGAGAATATAGTCTGGTCAAATGAGATAAACATTAACCTC